CATAACACCCCTAGAGTTGTGGAATGATCACAAACCTAGTTTGAGACACATTCGCATATGGGGGTGCCCAGCATATGTGTTGAAGGGAAAGACTGGGAAGTTGGAACCTCGCTCGGAAGTCTGCATATTTGTGGGCTATCCAAAAGGAACAAGAGGAGGTATGTTTTATAGTCCTCAGGATAACAAAGTGTTTGTATCGACAAACGCTACATTTCTTGAGCATAACTATATGGCAAATTTCAAGCCCAGAAGTAAGATAGTTCTGGAAGAGTTACTGGCTGATCAAATTAGCCCCATGCCGACAACAGTTGTTAGACGACAAAGAAGGGAGACCACTGACCATGATCAAACACCACCGCCACCACGACGCAGTGGGAGGGAAATAAGATTGCCAACCCACTATCGTGAAAATGGAGAAGCAAATGTAGCAGTCACCGATGGCAGTGAAGATGATCCATTATCATACAGGATGGCAATGGATGATATTGATCAAGAAAAATAGCAAGAAGCCATGAAACTTAAAATGGAGTCTATGTACTCCAATTCTGTCTGGGATCTTGTAGACCTACCAGAAGGCGTTAAGCCTATTGGTTGCAAATGGATCTATAAGAGAAAGAGATGAGCTGATGGCAAAATTGAAACGTTCAAAGCAAGATTGGTTGCAAAGGGTTTTACCCAAAAGGAAGGAGTAGACTATGAGGATACTTTTTCCCCTGTAGCCATGCTAAAATCCATTCGCATACTCTTATCCATTGCTGCTCATTATGACTATGAGATATGGAAAATGGATGTCAAGACGGCGTTTCTGAATGGCCATCTTGAAGAGACCATTCATATGGTCCAACCAGAGGGTTTCGTGGTAGAAAGCCAAGAGTAAAAAGTCTGCAAATTGCATAGGTCCATTTATGGACTAAAGCAAGCTTCTAGATCTTGGAACATCAGATTTAACGAAGCTATAAAATCTTATGGCTTTGAACAAAATCTTGGTGAACCTTGTGTCTACAAACAAATTCAAGGAGATAAAGTGGTCTTCTTGTTTCTTTACGTAGACGACATTCTGCACATTGGGAATGATGTAGAATCGTTATGCAAAGTAAAGAACTGGCTAGCCAGCTAATTCTAAATGAAGGATTTGGGAGAAGCCAACTATATTCTTGGGATCCAAATTATCCGGGATCGCAAGAATAGACTTTTGGCATTGTCTCAGGCATCGTATATTGACAAGGTGCTTGTTAGGTTTTCGATGCAAAACTCCAAGAAAGGAAATTTGCCTTCTTGACATGGAGTTTATCTCTCCAAGGAGCAGTGTCCAAAGACACCTCAAGAGGAAGAGGATATGAGACGAGTTCCCTATGCATCGGCAGTTGGTAGCCTGAAGTATGCAATGCTATGTACTAGACCTGACATATGCTATGCAGTAGGGTTGGTTAGCAGATACCAGTCAAACCCAGGATTAGATCATTGGGTTGCAGTCAACCACATACTCAAATAGTTGAGGAGGATGAGAAACCATATGCTTGTATACTCTGGGAGGGATTTGATTCCTATTGGATATACTGATTCTGATTTTCAGTCGGATAGGGACTCTCACAAGTCCCCCTCGGGGGCAGTGTTCACTTTGGGAAATGGAGCCATCATATGGAGGAGTATGAAGCAATCTTGTATTGCTGACTCAACCATGGAGGCTGAGTATGTAGCAACTTGTGAAGCAGCTAAGGAAGCTGTCTGGCTTTGTGAATTTCTGAAGGAATTGGAAGTTGTTCCAAATATGCATGAGCCTATCATACTCTATTGTGACAATAGTGGAGCAGTGGCCAATGCCAAGGAGCCCAGGAACCACCGCAAAGGAAAGCATATAGAGCGAAAATTCCACCTGGTCAGAGAGATTGTTTCTAGAGGAGACGTTTCAGTTGAAAAGATCGCATCCGCGAACAACATAGCTGATCCATTTACCAAAACATTACCAGCTGGGAGTTTTGAGAGACATCTTGAAAATATGGGACTTAGAGACATGCCTCATTTGCTTTAGGGCAAGTGGGAGATTGTTGGGATATATGCCCATAAATCAAATAAGATGTAAATATTTTGCTGATTATCAATGAAATGAGGAATTTTTTCAATATTATTTTGCATACTTGTGATGTTTTATAAATATCAAAATCCCTAGATTATCTTTTGATGTAACTTTAAACATTGTATATAATTGTTATATGCAGAGGATAATGTTTGAAATAAAATAATCTAAACTTGTCCGTAATTATAAATTAAAGTTGGGATCTTTAATTTAAAATTACTAATGCGGTTCATTACATTCTGAATGAAACAATCGTATCCTAGATTGTTAATAATGAGATTATTGGAATGAAAGCATTTTATGTAATATGATTACAAAGGACCAGAGCGCGATCAATTATGAATCTCTAATAAATTCTGTTATTAAATAGAGTATTCAATGTTAATCAATGATGGTCATATATGTATTAATCTTAATTCTGAGTAATTAATAAACTCCTATTTATGATATTATGTTCTTTGACATATTGAGTAATGACACATGTGAATAGTGTCAAAGTCTTGGTATACTAGGAGCATAGTAAAATAAATAGCCGGGAATATTAATTTACAAGATGAAATCCATTC